TGGTGAGCCTGGCTAGAGGTTCATCAATCTTGTTTCTCCCTTCAAAGAACTAGCTCTTGGTTTTGTGGATCTTTTGTATTGTTTTTTTGGTCTCTATGTCATTTATCTCCACTCTGATCTTTATTATTTCCTTCCTTCTGCTTACACTGGGCTTTTCTTGTTGCTCTCTTTCTAATTCTTTGAGTTGTAGGGTTAGGTAATTTATTATCATTGTTCCTTTTTTTTTTTTTTTGCAGTAGGCTTGTAGAGCTATGAACTTCCCTTTCAAGACTGCTTTTCTTAAGTAAAAGGTGAAAAAATAAATAAATAAATAAAAATGTGCAGTAGTTAAGGTCCTTCACTTCCTCTCTTCTTCTGTTTGGCATGCCTTAGTCCTGTCAGGTATTCAGGAGAGTGTTGAAGTTCCCTGTGATACACTGTTCCTCCGTGTTGTAAACCACAGTCCTGATTTTAAAGCAGGCCGTATTTGTTTTCCATACTGCCTTTATTTGTATTTACAGAAGAGTTAGTTTGTGGTTCAGCCTTGGGTGGCAGTGTTTCTGGATTGACCTCCAAGGCTACCCAATAGGGCGATCCTATGTATTGGGTTCAATAATCAAACACAAAGATTTAAGGGGAAGAGGGAAAAAAAGAGCCTAAGAAGGTGCACGAACTCGCAACCCTCCACCGTCCAGCTCTGTGCGCAGTCTCTTCCGCACGTCCTCTCTCCCCTGGCACTAAGCAGCTGGCACACTGGCAAAATCCAAGGCTGCCTTTTTGCTTCCAGTACGGCTATGGGCTTATTTTTAGAGTTTCCTTCTGCCAGCAGCCCTGCAGGACCCCTTCCACACTCGCGGATCACGCTGGCCCCAATGGCCGTGGACTTCGTGGGGCACAGACTTCCCCTGTGCGCGTTTCTCTCTCCAACTTGAACTGCAAACCGCACTTTATCCAGGCAAAATCTGACCTTTCCGTGAGGAGGAGTAGGGCTTGTCTGAGTCCACGTATTTGTGCTGCTTGAGATCTGGTATTCCTGGGGCAGTAGCTGATCCCTGGATGCCGTGGTTGCAGGGTGTCTGGATGTATATGCTTCCAGTACCAGCCACTCAAGATGGCGTGGTCTTCATGGCTGAGCCGGCTGCTCCAGCAGAGATTTCAGCAGCAGTGGAGGCTGCCCAGTTAGAGGAGCCCAATCCGGCAGTCTCCAACAGTCCCCTTTCTCCTGTAGTCCTCTGCCTTTCCCGGCTGCAAACTGTCACCCAGCTGAATCTCCTCTGCCAATTCGGGCTGGCTGTTACTCGTTTTAGCTGCTCACCCTATCTGCTCAGGGACAAGGCACAAGACACGTCTGTCTATACCACCGCCATTTTAGATCCCATTTTGTTAATATCTGGATGTCATTTAAAGAATTTGGGAATTTTTAAAAATGAAATTCAGATTTCTCACTTCTCTTAAAATATCCAAAGAGCTGGCAGCATTGGCCCCATGGTGCAGCATGGATTAATCGCAAGTGTTGAGAGGGAGCTGCGTGCTTTAGGTGGGCACAGCTCTTCACCAGGGCCCCCACCCTCTCTTCACCAGGGTCCCAACCTCTCTCTAGGTCCATGACACCATGGCCAAGCATTAGCTCCCACTTGTGAACTCACTAGCTCTGTTTTTCCTTCCCTCCAATTATATTCACCTACTTTTGTATCTAACTTGCCTTACACATCTGAGTGTGTGCATCCAGCCTACAGAGTGTGATCATTGTTTTGGTTGCTGAGAGATCTTATTTACTTGTTGTGTCTCACTTGTGGCCAGTGTTTGAGGTTGCCAGAGAGATGCAACAAAGCCTCAGACAGGGAACAGAATGGCGTGAAGTCGATGGAGATGAGAGGACCCATCAGAAGCATTGCTTTGATTCCGTGGCCGGTTATTATGCCAAAAGAAGCAAGCTGAGGTAGAGAACTATAAGGACTTGGGAACAAGTCAGGCCTGGCTTCCAACCCTGCCCCCCAACAGCCAGCAATCAATTTGCCTGTGATAGCCCAGCTGAGGTGGGTGCACGGCTCACGGGAGGTTAATGAGAGCTGAGTGACTAAAGGGAACAAAGATCCCACTGGATTCTCAGAAAGTCCCCAGGCAGCCCAGCCTTTGTTTGAGCTGAGCTGACTGTGCATTGTTACTTGCTGTCCTTGTCCTTGTTCCTGAGGATAAGGTTATCCTGAGGTTGAGAGAGGCAGGGAGTGTTACAAAATGTCCACCTGACAGCACTTTTCAATATGTTAAGCAACTTAAGTGAACAGAGCAGAAATAATGTCCTGGTTGGAAGTTAATATTTGAGCCCACCAATTATTTGCTGGAAGACAATGTCTGCTCAGTTACCACAGATAACAGGTAAAACAAACCTCCTACCAGGCCAGCTGCTAAAAAGACATCATCACGCTCTAACCTCGGGCTGTTTTAGCTAAACTACTGTAAATAAGGCAGGACAAACTATAAGCTTTTTTAAAAATTACTGCTGTTTTGAATGTAAGTCATGTTACACTCCCACCTGCAATGTGCTGTGACTCAGTCATGAGTAAAGATGGGTTGAGTTTGCTTTGCATTCGCATTCTCGAGAGCTCCCAACTGTAGGACCAAGGCTCAAGGCAAAGAGAGGGGGGAAACAACAGCCTTCATTGAAAGCCCTTTGCCTTACTCCCCACCCCACCCCAACCCTGGCTCTCCACAAGTCCTGCCAAGGAAGTATTTTACAGAAAAGGGTGCGGCTCTAATAAGAATGAAGGAAAATGAAAGCATCAAAATGGATTATTCAGTTCTGCCCTTTATCTAGTCACATTCCTACTAACTCCCTCCCTACCCCCTGGGTGGGGGTGGGGATAGTGGTGAGGGAGGAAAAGAGTGAAATTTAACCTTCATTCTTTTTGAGTGGGAGTACCCATTTCAACCCATTTGAAAGCCTTAAGAAGGTGTTTTTCTGTTCCATTAGTAAGAACAGAAATCAAAATATCTGTTCATTAATAGGGCAAGACATGGCTATTTTTCAAAAGAAAAACGACAACAGCAAAAATTGTTAATGCTTATTGAATAGAATATTTGTGAATGTATACATAAACCCTGAATAAGAGTTATCTCATTTAATGTTCTCAACCATGTGAAATAGCAACCACTGCTATTTTCCATCTGAAGAACCTGATGCTTAGAGAGACTACGTAACTTCACCCTGGTTGCACAACTGGTCTGTGACCAGCTGGGATTTGAAGCAATTAGACTGGCTCCAGCATCTGGATAGGGAACTGCAGAATTAAGGTGCTGGCTTCTATCCAGCTGAATGACTTAGAAAAAAATATCTATAATAATAAAAGCATAATATGCTAATTAGACCACATGTCCTTCTGGACAAAGCCAGGGCTGCAAGGGAAGCCTGGGTCCCAGGTGCCTGCCATCAGCCAGAGGGAAGCCAGTGCCAGCAGCTGGGGGAAGGAAGGCCTACTCTTGCACGAATTTCATGCATTGGGCCTCTAGTATATAGTATTGGCCTTACTGTCCTCATCTGTAAAATAAACGGTTGTGTTAGGTGATTTTTAAGATCCCTGCCAACTCTTTGAGTCTATGTCTAATCAAAATCCATCATATCTATGCTACTGTGGCCATTCATTCATCCAGGAAATGATAGGAAGTTAGAGAGTGGTGTGGGATAGGAAGAGGCAGGGAGATTGTTGCATTGTACACCAGGTGTTTTCCTAACTGGGGCAGCTGCTTCAATTGCCAGGGCCAGACAGGAGGGATAGCTGGGTGACTGGGGGAATGAGATGGGAGCACACCCACTGTTTCTTTAATTGGGCTGGTTACCTGGCCCAGGAGCATTCTTACCACCTGCACCAATCTGCAGCCCTCCCGCCACACCTGCTGAGGGCTCCAGGCACCAGCATGTGAGCTTGGAGAACCCCTCCGTAATGTGACCAGACCTGCTGGGCTTCTCTTCCTGGCTCCCCTGAATCTCACTAACCAATACTTCCAGGAATTTTCCTGCCGTCCAGAAGCCTTTGTTCTTTCTTAAGGGTCAGGAAATGGGAGAGGGCGTTGGGTGGGGAGTAGAATCCTCGGAGTTCTCTGAAATGCCCTCAGATCTCAAGATGTCAGGCTTATAAAGAGCCCCAGTGGGCAGTCACTCATGTTGTAGATAATACCGTCAACAGCACCAGCTATCTGAAGCTCTTTGTGAAATGGGAACCAACTTTTGCTCTCTGGGAACAATGACTCTCACCTTCCTCTCTGGCAGGCAAACGAAGGTGTGCTTTCTTCATTGATGTCATCCGCACCCACCCTTTAAGGTTTCCAGTCGCTCCTAAGTTTCTTCTGCCCTCACCCCATGCCCGCCGCAGTGTAATCCTCACTTCCCTCTTCTGATAGCCTGCACACACATATGCTGTGTAACGCCATCAGAAGCCATCTGATTCAATCCAGCCAACACCCACCTCTCCGCCAGACTTTCTTGCTGCTGACAATAGACACGTTGCAAGTGCCTTTTTCCTTATCTGTGTCTGTGTGTGCTCAGAGGTAGCGATAACACCGAAATGAAAAGAGGTGGCCGAGAAACGGGAAGAGAGAGAAGCCGGAGCTGGAGTCCTCCACGCTATGGTTTCCAACGACTGCTAGCCGGCTTGCAGGCTGACCCGAAAGAGGAGAACCACTTACGCTGAGACGCAAGGGGAAAGTGTGAGAAGGAAGATGAGGTCAGAATAGAGTGGAGCGAAAGGGGGTGGGGTGAAGGCAGAGAAGCCCAGCCCCGGTGCAAAGGGCCCGTCATTCCTTTCCACAGCGCAGTTTGCCGAGATCCGCCACTTGGGTTTCGTTTGCAAACGAGGAGGGCTTGCCGCAGGCGGGGCCGGGCTGGGCGCCCACTCT